GGCCAGCACTGCCACCGGCCCGGCGCTGCAGCTGCAACAACCCTGCGTGAAGGTGGCTTTCGGAGCCCTCCACCTCTCCAAGCACTCCGCCGAGAACTGCGATGCTCGCGTAGCGGTGCTTTCCCGGAAAAGCAGGCCCTGCTGTCCCCTCACCTGCCGGTCCGCAGAGCTGCCCAGCAGCCACAGCCCAGCTCTGTCCCCTCCTTGCGACCGGGGCATAGGTTCCCAGCTTCTTCGCCTTTACCTCCGTTCAGAACCAAGATCTGTAGACACACTCAGTTTATCCACCTCCAACAGCCTTTTAGGTCCAGAACAGACTGGCGGGATCTTGGCGAGAGTAACACAGCAGCAGGCCCCTCCCTCCACATCAGCCAAACACCCAGCTTCACTGCCCGGCGTTACAACAAAATGCAAAAGCTCTTTATTAAAAAAGCAGCACAAAGCCCAGTACGAAAAATCAAACACAAACCAACCAGTCCACACAGAAAGCTTCTTTTTCCAGCTGCCTCTTAAAATATGCACCACAAGTTCATTTCTCCTACCACAGACTCACTAGAGAAACTTAACAGGAGGCTTTTGTACTGCTCTCCTGTCAGAGGTCTCCACTTTCTCTGATCCAGACCCTCACATCCCTTCCCTTTCTCCACACCACATGATGACTCCTCTTGCCAGGAAAAGGAAGCACCTTCTCCCCTTCGTGCGCAGAGAAGCAGCTCCCTCATGGACAGTCAGAAACATCACTCCTCTCCAGGGTAAGGCCCAGAAACAGTACTCGATCCCAGGATCCTCAGAAGCCAGCAGGACAGTCTGGCCATTTGTCATAGTGGAATGAAATCCTGTTGCATTTTGGCCACAAGAACTCCAGCCAAGGGCTGCAGTTCACAAGTGAGGAAGCACAGATACTGACCCCCCCAACACACCACACCACCCCTTCCATGCCAGTCAGTGGTGCAGAGGCTTGAATCATGGCCAAAGCTCAGCTGTCCAACAAGGATATGGATAGCCGCTGCACAGCAAGTCCCCCTCTGCACTGCCGTTTCCACGTGTAACAAACGCATATCTACTGCCCATCACTACAGGCAGAGCCACGGAGGGGCAGAGTAAAAGAGCCAAAGTGAGCCCTCTCAGCCGCTGCGTCCATCTAAGCACTGGCTATAAAAGCACAGGTGGGTAAGACCTGGTATTTCCAGCAGCTTCGGGACCCCATGGCAAAGTCAATGGCTCCCACCTACAGGGAACTGTAAACACTGCAGCCCGTCATTCATCAGGTTTCATTGCAAACAGCCTTGGCATCCAAACAAATGCTTCGGAAGGACCGCTGCCCAGGGAACACATAACCCCCTGGTAACAACAGAGTGTGCCAACAGACTGGTGCTGTATGGGAGGACACAGAAACTACTTCAAATGCTGTAGCAGAGCAGGCGAAGGGCTCCACATCATGAACTCAGACCCACGAGTCTCTATCCCAGCCCTGGATGGTTGTTTCCTCCTGTCCCTTACGTGGTCAGGAGCAAGATTTCTGAAGAGCAAGAGCAATTTTCTGTGTTTGCAAGCCTTTGTGTTACCCCACTGTGACAAAACTGTCCCACCTAGAAAGAAGGGGCTGTACCTGAGTTGCTCATCCTCTTCCTGCCAGCAGGTATCTGGATTCTTTAAGCCACGCTCTCATTTCCTAGAACCGTGGGTTCCCAAGGGGGAGCCCTGCACATATGCCATGATGGCATTCTGCAAGAAGCTTGCTCGCTGGGCCTCTTCTTCCCTCATCCTGGAGATGTCAGCCTCTTTTACTCTCAGTTTCTCCAGCAGCATAGAGATTTCACCTTCTTTGTCCAGCAGTGCCTCACGGTGATTACTTGACAGAGCTGTGAAAGAAGAGCAGCATTAGTAAAGAAAATTAGGCTTTCCCTAGAATAAACAGGAACAACACGTTACAGGCACAGCCAAAGGCAACGGAAGCAGGATGACTGACAGGCATACGAGAGAAGCTGCATGAGACCACGTGAGAGGTTTTGCACAGGCAAGATGTTACACTTCACTGTGCAGGAAATCCAAGCATCTTGCTTGCTGTGCAGCTTTGGGTAGCTATCTGAGTCTTCGTCTCCACAAAATGAGGACAAGAATCCCTGCAAATGTATCAGGATGGAGGCTACAATTCACAGTTGTACGCACAGACACGAATCACCGTTGTCAGTACCTGTAAACGTAGCTCAGTTCCAGGCCCGCTGTAGGGTAACCCAACATTACCATTTGAGAAGCATGAAAGGATCCATCACCTTTCAGCTGTCTCTCCAGGGCTGCAATCTTCTCCCTCAGCCCTTCCTGTGCTGTGCGTTCAGCCTGCAGGTGTCCAATCTGCTCCTGTAATGCCACTTTCATTTTATTCACCTCTGTGACTTTCTCCTCTTCTTTACTGTTCAGGTCCTGACCCACAAAGACAAATCCATGAATGACCAAACAACTTCAGCAACTTGTTCTGCCCTGTGGTGACCATATCTCTACTCCAGTCCAAATTACCTGCTGAAGTTCCTCTAACCGCCTTCTGAGTCCATCAGCATGCAGGCTCAACTGATTGGCTTTGGCTTGGGCCTCAGCAACCATTTGCTTCTGATTGAGGCAGCAGTTCTGAGCTTCATCCCGTGATTCAGTCATCAACCGCAGCTTCTCTTCTAGGTGTTCTAGTCGTTGCTGCTGTAAGACACAAACGAAAATTAAAATACATCAGTCTCATTCTGTTTCCACGAAGGGCTTCTCCCCTTTTTGTTCCCGGCACAATGAAGCCTTGGTTGAGTCAGCTGGCACTGAAGAACAAACACAGGAGTTAGCCATAATAGCTACAGCACTTCTCCCTTGCATTCAGGAGTGAAGCTAAGCTGCTTTCTGTTGCCAGGGAAAACATTCTGATGGAGATACTGCAAAGCCCAGCTCACTTGCTGAGAAACAGAAGCATGTCCTTGGTAGAAGCACCAATGCCACCGCTGGTGCTTACAGCTAATGCTCTACCCTCACTTCCTCCATATCCCAAACAGCTCTGAAACACCACTGTATTCAGCTAAGCAACTGCTGTGTCCCACCACAGACACACATGGCAGCTTTTATATGTTTGTAACTCAGTAAAGCATCTTCTTTTGTGACGTTACATGTAAGTAAACATTCTAATAGTTTTGGTGTATTTTCCTCATCCCTTATTCTCTTTCCCAGCGCGTTGACTTATCTTCAAAACATTCAGTTCTACAGTGTTGTGGTGGATTTTTTTTTTTGTCCAGCAGCAGTAGCCACCTGTGGAAATTCCTTTGAGTCCAAAGAAACATGAGCAGCCCATGAATGCTGCTGTTAAACAGAAGGACGGACATCTGGCTGCTTCCTTCAAAAGTTGGCAACTTAAATGAAATCTGCTATGACAATATGCACATCAATTCTGTTACTGCTGGAAAGCACAGAGCAGGTGGGGATAGTGGTTACATTTGGAGGACAATTCAAAGCAGACTTTTCAGGACTCCTTCCTCAGAAAACACACTGTGTGCAGGCCAGTGAAACCCAGGGCGGGGAGTTACTGAGCAAAAACACATGCTAGGCAGCCAAATACACTCCTTCCCACAGAGGCAGGGCCCACAGACAGATCTTGTCCTTACCTCCTCCAACCGAGCCTGATTCCGGACTTTTATTAACTCCTCCTCTGCCTGTCCTCGCTCAGTGAGTGCAGCCGCTTTGACTTGGCTCAACTCCTGCCACAGAAACATGAATGGTCATTTCAGACAGAGAAGCTGCATCACTGCAACACTGATGAGGAAACATTAGCAGCTTCCAGTCGCAGGCTACAACATTGACACAGCTAACTCACTCAACGGCAGGGAAAACAAACCCAGATTACATACATTTTCTCACCCCGAGACTGCCTTCCTAAATCAATGAGAGTTTCAGTTATTTGAGGGCAAGTAATGGGGGAAGCTTTCTAAAGACAGGGGAATAGGAGAGGGCAGCACTTGATCTAGCTGGGGGAACAGCTAAGGAGAAATACGCTACACTACTTGGGACCACATGGGAAACCTATGAAGTCAAATTCCGGTAAGAATCTAACCATGTTCAAGGGAAACTTTATTTTTGTTCAATCAGAATCTACAAGTTTCTCCTTGGAGCCTTTTCCTTCCTTAGTCCAGAACAGTAAAAGTAACTTTAGCTGGTAAATTGCTGATTTCTGTTCCTCCCTACAGCACACAACAATCTTTACTAGGTCAGCAATGCAAGACTCCACAAAGCTTCCCTAGCAGCCTTCTCCTGCCACCGCTACCCAAGCATTCCAATGTGCCTGGAGCATCCATTCTCACCTCCTCCAGAGCTATCCTGATGGCCTCCAGCCTCTGGATCCTGTCCTGCATGGAACGTTCACTGTTCTCAATGTGCTGTGCCATATGATCCACCTGCAAAGCAATAGAAACCATTCAAACAAGTGCCAGAAAACCACTCCTATCTCCAGGCCTAGCAGCATGGCCACTGGACATGAGAAAGAGCATCCTCTCATCGACCCACCTACCACCAAAGAAAAACTCTTACCTCCCTCAGACCTCCACTAAGAAACTGCAATATAGACAGAACCTGCCCTCTAGAAACTGGAAACTTCAGGCAGAGACCCCCTCCACGCGAAGATGAAAGATACAGTCTGAGCTCTCATCTTCAAGCGGTACAAAACACCACATTCATTTTCTAGTTGTAATGTGGCTAAAATCTTCCTGGCCTATGTCTTTTCTTATAAGATTTCAAAATCTTCAGAGAAATCTATTGGTATCATTTTATTTTTGAGAGATTTCCCATCTCAATAAACACTCCAAAGAGTTGATCACACAGCCTCTCGTCCTGCCCACACTCAGACAGAATCCCCCTGGAACATAACAGAAGGAACTAGCAAGCTGAGCCCCATTAAAGAATCGGTTGTATATAACATATATATCTTGATTTCCTCCATTAATGCATCTTTATTTCAGTGAGCATGACAAGACTGCTTATGCATAATTGTCTCTATGCATGGCAAGACTGACACAAGGGCCAGCCTCCAAGCCTCTTTTGCAGAATCAGTGTACCGCTCTGGCCCATACTCTTGCAAGCTACAAAATCTTACTAGCTGGTAGAATGTCTTGTGGTTTCTTCAGCTAGGCTCTGCCTGAAGAAATGGCCTCTTATTCCCACAGTGAGTCCGAGTCCACTAATTTTTAAATTTAAGAGCAGCTGACAGCAAATGGTGACCTCCAGTGGCACCTGTATATCAGGACCAAAGCGGGACTAATCTCAGGATGCTGCAGAAACCCCACTCTTACCTCTTTTAACCGAAGGGATTCCATGTCTTCAAGGCTTTGTTTAAATCTTCTCTTCTCCATTTCTAGGCGTTCTGCAGATTAAAAGCAGCCATATCACAATTATGGTATTCCTGCTACGCAGGCGATATTTGTGCTCTATCACAAACTCTTCCACCCTTTCTTCTTGGCTGCCTTGCATTGTTGACTCATGAACAGTAATCCCAACCCATAGGTGTCCATGAGCTGTTTCTGCTCCTCCACTCACCCTCAGCCTGCACAGCCCGCAGCTTCAGCTCTGCTGTTGTGTTGGTCAAGTCTTGTTTTACCTGGAATAGCTGATCCTGCTTCTTTTCCTATTAGCAGAGAAAGTTGGCTATACAGAACAATCAGCAGAGACCTAAACAACAATGAAAGTAGAGGACACATATACAGAGTAGAAGTGGACAAGCCCAAGTCCTGTTTCTCAGCCTAGGATTTGCTTTCCTACCTGGTTTCTTAGAAGCAAGTTTTTCTCACTCGCGGCAGACAAGTCACGCAAAAGCTTGCCTTCCCGATCAGCACCTTCCTGCAAACAGAATAAAGAACCTGTACTCACCTTAGTTCTTGCACTGCCAACCTATTCCAACCAACATCACACCCAACTACACCCAACCTACCCCATAAACACCATGGCTCCTCTCCACACCCGGGAACTCACCTAATTCACATAACAATTTTAGTCATGGCAGCTGCGGTTAGCCCACTAAAAATCATGCTTGCTTATCCTATCCAGCATCCTCCAAATCTACACAAATGAGGCATAACCTGGAACCCTGCTCTCAAACCTAACTAGGACTTATCTAGCTCACCTGCTTTTGTTGCTGGAGCTCCGTAAAGTGGCGCTCAGTTATACTGGTTTGTTCTTGTTTTGTGGCATTCAGTAGCTCTCCCAAATTGTGCACCTTCTGCTCAGACAGAGCCAGGGCAGCTTCAGTCATCTGGAGTCTATACAGAGAAACACTTTCCAGAGTCCTTTCTAAGGCAGACACTTCCAGCGATCTCTCTACACCACATGGTACAAGACGTTAACGTGTATCTGGCAGTGGATGAAACCCGGCTAGCTAAATGAGGTTAAATTTTTTGCCTCTGGGAAAAGGACACCACTTATCTCTACATCCAGCAGCCTCTGCAAACGGTAAGTGACCTTGGACTTCTCAAAGCCTAGCGGTCTGGTGCTCCACTGCATTTTCCCCGTGTTGTCTTCCATAAGCTGTTTTCCCTGCCCAGCCCCCTCCAGGATTTGCCCACTCTCACAAGAGAACAAAGCTGGCTATTTTACACCACTGCAAAGTTGCTTAAAATTAAGGATAGAATTTTAAACACAGGTAGCAGAAGCAATTTGCTTACTCTGTACGAGGGACAGATGCACACCGAGGCGTGACATAACGAAACTACCTTTACCTGGCAGAACTGAGTAAGCCAGGCTTATCTGTGTTTGAAGTCTAACCACTGTCATGTGCATATCGCTCTACACAATCTAACACTGCTTTAGGGCAGCTCCACCTCACTGGTCCCAAGCACACAATCTTGCTGGTCAGGTTCCTCCATACACGCAGCAGTTCTCAGAGGATACTGCCAGCTGCCAGGGGAAGCAGGTACAGACTCTTGCCAGGCTGCAAACTGTGCAAGGAATGTGCCCCCACCATCCCATCCCCGCAATCCTTTTTCTTTCCTTTTCACCCTCTGTAACTCACTTGCTCTTACACCAATGCACTGCAGTTTTACTTAAAAGCAGGCTAAATATCTAGCATGGCAAACCCAAAGGCCTGACATTACTACGGAACTAAGCGAAATAGTAAGCCAGCCACTCTACAAGATTATCCCCCTTCTTAACAGCTCTGCTCAGCACAGAACAGTAGGAAGGCTAAGGTTTTCCTCCTCCGTACTTGGCTTTCAGTGAATTCATAATAGAGTGCTGCTCATCCAATGCTTCCTGCAGCTGGCTGACTCGTGCTGCAGACATCCTGCATTTGGGACGAAAACAAGAAAGGGAAAAAAAAAAAATAAAGGTGGGTAATTTCTTCCAGGAAATGGAGAGGGCCCAATTCTGCTATCAAAGAGCAGAAAGCACTCAGAAATTCAACTCACCTGCCACTCCTGGCTATTTCTTCTCTCTGCTTGTCTATAGTGTCCATCAAATCCAAGAACTGTGAACACGGCAAACATCAGTGAGAAAATAAACTGCATCAGCTTGAAGCATTTACGTTTCTCATCTTTCCTAGCGACAGCTGAATACAGGTCAAGCCACTCTATTGAAAACAAGCAAACTGGAGGTTTGACAGGTTCATTAGCACATCTGAACGAGGTCATCAGCTATCGGGACTCTGCACCATCATGTGTCACAAGGAAAACAGATTTGTATTTCTAGGTTTTCATCACTTGGAAAATACCAAATTAGCTGCAAAGAAAGAACTGAAAGCACAAGAACTGGTGAAAAAAAACCCACCAACACGGGTTTGATTCCTGAGCAACCCAGCTCAGAGGAAGGACCCAATTTAGTAAACCTTGCTGTGTTCCCACCGATAAAGATGCACATGCAGCTTCAGGTGCACAATAATCCTGTCATGAGTGCTTCATGGGGACACCAAGGGAAAACATCGGATTCCAGCTGCCCCATTTGAACTGCCAACATGTAAGATTGCTGACCTGCTTGGTCTTCTCATCCTTCAGACTCAAAACCTCCTTGCTGAGTATGTACGTTCGGTTCTGGGTCTCACTCAAGATAGTCTGACGGTCTCTGTTGTGATCCATGGCTTGTTCTGATGCAGAGAGAGCAGGAGAGCATGCACATGTTTCTAAAGCAACACAATAGCAAGCACTGCTGGAAGAGACAGCACTCAGGATGACATCCAGCTATCAGAAGCACCAGGACAGTAACCCTTCTCACGATGGTCCACATAGAAAGACCGCTCCCACCTTACAGACATGAGGTGGGGCAAAATCCAAGAGAGCAGTGCATATGGGGTAATCAACACCCCAGCCACAGGAGAGCAATTCAGCTCCACTGTGGGTACGACAACAACAAAGGACATGCTGCTTTAGCCATATCCAAACTTGGCTTCTCGGAGACAAACAGAGCCCCAAGTTCTCCCACATTCACATGGCATAGTAATCTCTAATTCAATCCAGACTATTTTTTCCTCTTGCTGGAAAGAGGAAAGAGGTGTCCAGGTTGCTGGACACCTCCAACCTGACCAGCCCTCACTAAAGGACAAGAGGAAACAATGTAGGGCACTGTGTAAATGCTGTTGAGAAAGGGAGGGGAGGAAGGGTAGTGGTCTTCTGGAGCAGCAAGTGCCCTATATCCCTCAAGTGCTCAGGTCGGAAAGGAGTTACTGATTCTTTCCCGTACAACAAGTAATACTTACCCACAGCTTTCAGGATGTCACTAGGAACATTGTTCCCAGCCAGCTCCAGCCTCTTTAAGGTCTTGTTGCTGTGCAGGCAGTTCAGCAAAGCTCGGCCACCCAGAAGCCCAATATTATTCCAACGCAAATCTATACAGAAAGCAAACTTTCACCCCGGTAGTCACACATCTGCTGAAAAAACACAGAGCTCAAGAAACCGTGCTCCTTACACACCTACAAGCTTGGCTAACTAAGCCCAGATGGTCTCAGCGCAAACACAGGTGAGCACTGTCTCCCTTTTCAAGATGAATGAGAGGGAGGGAAAATGACAGACAAAGCAAGAAAGACAAGGATGAATCTTCAGTTCAGGAAGCCATTACAGTTCAAAAGGTATACAAGTCTGCCCCTCGTATTTTCATCTCACGAGCCTTCCTTTTACAACCACAATCTGTGGATGAGAAAGAACCAGCACCACAAGCCACGTTTTGCTGAAGGAAATTCTGACAGAATTCCTTACTAAGGACATAGCAAGTGTGAAGTGAGTCTCCGAGTCTGGCAGGAGGCATGCCAATAGCATTCACAAAAGGGAATGAACACATTTCCTCCTGCAGTCAGAACTGTTCTGCTCTACACACGCAATCTTCATCTGCAGGCTTGGTTCCAGAGATTCCAATTACAGTTCCCACTCTCCAAAGGCCATGGGGCTGTGACCTCTGCTCCCTGCACAAAGCCTGCAAAGCACTCCAGACTGACAGGAACTGGCAAAGTCACTGACCAGTTGGCAGAGATCAGGGCAGGCTGCAACAAACCTGAAGATATACATGTGCGTGCATGCACATACATGTATGTAGGTGAGCAGAGAACTAGTTGCTCTTACCCAGCTCCTGAAGGCTGGCATTTTGTTTCAGTGCCGTGGCCAGCTCTCCGGCCCCTTGATGGTTGATCTGGTTATTGCGCAGATCTAGCCGCTGGAGAAAGTTGTTTGCTCCCAGTCCTTGGCAGAAAAAGGAGAAGCCTTCCTCCCACATGCCAAGGCTGTTCCATTCCAAGATTAGGCTAGGGAAAATCAGACAGAACTGGAGTTAACTGAGTAATCGGACAGTTGCAAGAGCCTGAATGACACCTGGATCACAGCACCCATTTAAACACCCAGCTCCACTAACAGACTCAGTTTCAGAGAGCAGGATGCTGCTAGGGCCCTGCATCTTCCAATACGGCACCACCAGTTCTCATTTCTTCACGTGTCCCATCCCTCCAAAGAAACTGCACCACTTGACATTCCTCCAACCCCAACAAAAATAACCCTCAGCCCTTTTCTAACGTTGTGCTCCATCTGGCAGGAATAACAGAAAGAGAGGTAGATACAACTTTTTACCTCCTGATGGATTTGTTCTGCCTAAGAAGTTTTCCCAAAGCCTCAGCTCCCATGGTTCGCAGGTTATTTCCCTGAAACAGAAGTCCCAGGTGATCAGTAGGCTATGCCCTGTCCCAGTCCAGCTATCCCATCAACACCACCAGGTGCACTCCAGCTGTAATGCCGATTTCGGTCTGTGAAAGATGGTCTCAGTAAGATTTGTTCCACCTATCAGTCAGCTTTCCAGAAAATTAAAGGGCCTGGGAGGAACGGTGGATACATACACCATTAGTCTTGCCAGGCATCATGACTGAGAGCTCACCAAAATCACAGGATAGCACAGGATCAGCATGGCCCACAATGGGATGGAAAATGCCGATTCTAGACAAGCAGAACCATTGTAACATACTTCATTAAAAAGGTCTCAGCTAGCACCTGCACAAGTGAGAAAGCAAGGTGCGATGCAGTTTAGGACTGTAGATTCAAGTGAATAGCGATGCTCCAGAGGAATACAGGCAGTCACTCTCACAGTAGAGTGATTACCACATGTGAAAGGGGATGTTTAGTTCCAAGCCCCAGGCTAGCTGAAATACATTGGCAAGCTGGACAAACTCTACAAAAGCAGAAGTTTAAACAACTTGTAACTCACTGATTAATGCAGAAACCCAAAGAAAAGTCTACACATGCCTCATCTGACCAAGCAGCAACTGCCAAAAGATATACAGCAATCACTTTCTATCAAAGCAGAGTAACTGAATAAAAACAGAAAAAGATGAGTTGCAATGTAACTTTGGAAAGTCCTGACACAGTGTTTAGGAGGCAAGGACTGAGAACGCTTGAGAACAATAACTTTACAGAAGTACACGTCTCCAAGAACAATCCTGCACCAAGATGATCTATTTCTAACTCTGATTAAGCTTGTCCTCCTGTTTCTTTCCCCATCTCTTCGTCTTATTCAAACAGACTCACCTTCAAATCCAAAGATTTGACTGTGGTGTTGGAGCAAAGACCATGCAACAGAAGTTTTACACCTGAGTAGAAGAAAAAAGACAGTTATTTCACATGCGTAACCCTCTGCCTGAGCTGGAAGAGAAAGCATCCTTTCAAACAGCCAGCTCAGAAGACGCAGCTATGATAAAACGTAAGACTTAAGTCAACGGCCACTGCTGTTGGAAAGCACGAGTCTGAACTTTCAGGGCAGGAGATTTTTTTATATAATCTCAGAGAAAGAGGTGCCTGGGCGGAGAACTGCATGTCAGCCTACGTACCCTCCTACTGCAGCCACGAAAATAGCCCACGTCCAGACAGGCCACACAGACAAGATGCCTGCTGGCTGACCTCAGCCCTGCCGCGCAGCGGGGACCAAGCAGAGACTCATTCTGCGTCCTACAGCAGCCCCGTCCAGCGCTCGGCTCCAGCGGGCTATCACCGGGACGCTCCGGTACCAGCGCCGTCTGTCCACGGCCGGCGGCAGCAGGCCCGCTCTCCAGGACGCGGGGAAGGCGCCCCTGGCAGCCC